CCGGTAAAAGTTGGGGAAAGTCCCTTCGATACGACCGATGACCTCGAAGTTCGTGGGCCAATGACGGGGAAAGCAGCGGGGGAGAATTTTCTTCGAATGATTGATGATTAAGACAGGTGTCGTGCCAAAAACCGTCCGGTGCCAAATAGTGTCCGCTAATTAGCATAATGCGATCTGATTGGTCATGCGTCCATGACGTCACATTGTTTACGGAAGCTTGCAAATAGTGTCCGCGCTTAGCGTGCATCCTATTGCGTGCCTTGTCGAGATGTCAAGGCGTCGTATAGATAAGATCTCTTTTCACCTGAATTTACATTTTACAATCTGTTTTAACGTTTTCCTTGTTATCTGTGATAACTATTTGACTAAGTTTCCCTAATAGTGTAAACATTATATTTGTGCAAAATGTGTTTTTTTTTTCGTGTCAGTTCACCTGTTTGAAACACATGCAGTACGTACGAATAGGCCTAAAGTAACGCCGTAGTGTGTGTAGTATAGTACTGTTCCGTGTAGCATTATAACCAACGTTATTTCTGTTTGGTCAAAATCTAGAGGTCAAGATGCGGTTGTCTTGTACAATTAATCAGCGAATCTGCTCAAATGTCCATGGTCTATTGCATAGACTAGTCTGTGTGAGGGTTGCGCTTTAAAAGGTCTGAAACCCTGCAACTTTTTAAGAAGCTTGATCGAAGCACGCATCGCCGACACCTATCAATGTCTCCAACGACAAGATAAATCATAATCATAAGCATAACACGAACATTTACATCTTTGCGTGCGTTTTAACCATCAATCATTCGAAGACAATTCTCCCCCGCTGCTTTCCCCGTCATTGGCCCTTGCACTTCGAGGTCATCAGTCGTATCGAAGGGACTTTCCCCAACTTTTACCGTTGGACACTATTTGCAAGCTTCCGTAAACAATGTGACGTCATGGACGCACGACCAATCAGATCGCATTATGCTAGTTAGCGGACACTATTTGGCACCGGACGGTTTTTGGCACGACATCAGTCGTATCGAAGGGACTTTCCCCAACTTTTACCGTTGGGTGATCAGTTGATAAAGTTCAGGCCACCAACCTCCAATTCCTCCGCATATGGTTTACAAAAACAAATCGAACCTCTGTTCTGAAACTATGTGTCATAGTGGATTAATTTTGCTTTGTAATAATTCCTTCATTTTTAACCTGAAAGCATCTGAAAAATACAAATCATCAGGGCCATAGCCAGTCGATGGAAGGTGGTTTTATGAGGTGGACCTTTTCATGTCTTATAAACAGCGGTTGAATAGGAAACATAATCAAGCCTTATGGCCTTACCGAGGTCATCGCAGGTTCCACCCTGAGGGCTATTTTTGAGGGTTTTGGGGGGATAGGGGCGACCAAAATCCCCCAAAATGCCAGCCGTGGATATTCATTCAAAGGGTGAGGGAGGGGGGGGGGGCGTGGACAACACCATTACACTAGGGGCGTTGTTCATAATACAGCACATACATCTTTAAGAAATGTATACATGTGCGTACGCGCCTTAAACATCAACACATTAAAACGGCGCATTTAATTAGAAACATCTCATTTTTCGATTGATGACATTCTGGTTGATGGGAAGTTTAAAAAAAAAACCTCAAAATCCGCATTTTTTTCTCAACACGAAAAAGTGTGAGGGGTGGGAGATCCAATTGCCCATCCCCACCCCCCCCGGTCAAAAACTGGCCGGGGATGTATACCCCCCCTTCCCGGATTAACGCCCCTGCATCCGACTTCCGTCATTTAAAGGGGAAAACTACTAACAAGTTAGTATGCAGTTCGAATCATTACATTACCACTGAGCTTTGTATGTTTTGTTTTTCTTTGTTGGGTTACGCGGACTAGCTCATGCATGTACATGTACTTGTACATGTACATGTACATGTACATGTACAAGCATAGCCTTGCTGTATGGTACAAGTTACTTTCTCACTAGCAGCGTACGGGCATCGATATGTGCACGCAATTATGCCTTGCCAAGTTGATTAGGGATTTTGTTATCGGCGATTTTTTTTTATCGGCGAATCGATAAGCCCGCAACGCCTTGGTCAAGGCTAAAGAACCCCATGTAAACCGATCAAAGCGCACAGCCAGATAGCGCTCCCGGGCTGGGTGTGTGGGTGTGTGTGTGGCGTATGTGTGTACATGTACATGTACACTATCGCTGCCCAGCACATGAACAATATACAGACCCTAGGCGCGGAGCCAAGAGCATTATGTAAATGAACACACTCGAGCCTAAATCTCAACCAATCCCAATGCAATAAAGGTTATACTGTTGGAAAGCTGACGAGACGAAGACAAATGACTCAAGAGATCTAAGCTCCAAGGTGGCGCTATTTAACGTTGTGGTGATGTTAATGGACTAGTTCTTGGCTGAACGCGCGGTTTACACACAAAACAGGGAGATTTTTTGACTAAAAATGCAGTGTTTAACATAAGAATGCGCGAGTGAACCTCAGTGTTTTATTCAGTTTTCTTTCATTTTCTGAAAGAGTATATTGTTAGGGTCACACTGTAGTGAGATCTAAGGTGTACTATGTCGAGTAATGAAGTGGTGGCGACAGATGTGAAAAAGGTCCCGTTTTTAATGATTTTTTTCGCGTAGAGGCACATAAAAACCGGCCCGATTCCCCAAAGGAATTCATACTCATGATGAGTAAGGCTCGATCAAACGATCAGAATGCGAGATAATGCGTTTGAAATTGAATGGTCCAAATATAGACATGAACTTTATCGGTAAGGCCAAAAAAAAAAAATATTCGGTCTCTTGTCAGACCAAAGTTCCGGAATTGACGCGGCCACGCGGCTTTTTTTTTTTTTTCCTGTTTTTTTTTCTTCAGCTTGGATTGTACAGACAAGGTGGGTACTATTTTGCTTTTTTGGTGTCCTCATGTACATTGGTGGCCTCCATAATTTGCCTTGGTGCTTTCGATCATTTACCTTGGTGCAATTTCCCATTCCTTGGTGCTCTTTGGTAAAAAAAATTGAGGAGATGCGGAAATAGAGGGCGCTGTTGGAGCTACCGCGGAACATTTTGGAAAAAAAAAAGATCGACGCGCATGCTTAAAATCGACGCGCGCGCTGACCAGAGACCGACTTATTTTTTTTTTGGCCTAACCTTTTGTGTCTCTCGAGGTCAACTCATCAGGTGATTAATAGGACAAAATGGCGCTCTGATAGTGCCACACGTGGCGATATGTTTTTCCGTACACATGTGCGTATTTCGAAGTACGTTGAGTTGCAAGTCAGGTTATCGGACTTTATTTTCCCTTGAAAAAATCCTCCAAACCACATATTTGTAAAAGAAAAATGTTCCACATGACCATAACAAACCTTTTTAAGAGAGAAGAAGAAATAAATTTAAAAAAAAATCGTTCCTCCATGATCCAACAAACACCATCGGATTTGCAATCCGATGTAATCGATCAATTTTACCTCGTTGAACGTGCATTTTATAGACTGGTCTCAGCTAATAGACTGCAGGGGAGGGGTGTTCAGAGGAATTGCGGAGGAAATGCGGAGGAATTGGAGGTTGTTGGTAGCCCGAGCTTTCACCAAACGATAAAAGTTGGGGAAAGTCCCTTCGATATGACCGATGACCTCGAAGTGCAAGAGTAATGACGGGGAAAGCAGCGGGAGAGAATTTTCTTGGAATGATTGATGATTAAAACGCATGCAAAGTTGTAAATGTTCGTGCTATGCTTTTTATCGTAACGGGAGGAGTGGACATGCAAAAACAATACTTTAAGCGTAGTATATGTCAATAAGTTGTGACGAATCCTGTCTACGACGCCACTTTTGTAGCGGTACGCCATTGGGGTCCGCTCAAATGATTAGATTTAAGGACGCCAAGAACAACCAAGACAAACAAACAAAATCAAAAGAAAAACTGCATTTTTCCAACGCTGGTCGGCCGACCAGCGTTGGAGAAAACTGTGGTTTTTTTTCAAAAATATGTTCTTAATTTTTCACATTTAGATATTCTGACTTTTCTTTGCACTGATCACACACCTGTGAAGGGGTACAAGACTGCTAGACTGATTCTCTGACCTTACAATTCCCCAAAGTGTATTAATTGCTTCGTTTTATCTTAAGTTTGGTCAGGGAACCAGACTACAAGAACATGATAGGTTTTCTTGGTTTTTCCAGCATCTACAAGCCCAAAACATGAAACAAGTCAGTTTAACAATATTTTATATAACATACTAATCCTCCAAATCCATTTATTTCTGAAAATTGCAGCAAAGCAAATGCTGTACTCCCTTTAAATCACAGTCTTGGTATGCTGTGGGTGTATTGCTTGGAAAAGAGTGAGGTGAAGACCTTGGGGTGTAATGTGAAACACCTGTTGTGAGAGTGGCAGTATGTGTGCTCAGGGACAGTCTAAATTTCGGTCTTACACAAGTACAAAAATCATATAACTTGGATTCAACTTCCAACTCTATAAATCAGTGTAATACCGTTGCCAATGATAAATTATAATCACAAGGTTTTTATTTCTAAAGTTGCCCCGAGGTTAAAAGTGAGGTTTCTAAGATTCCCAGGTTCCTAATATTCTTGGTTCTAATATTTTAATCAGGTTCCCCGAACGCCTGGCCAGTGTACGGCTGTGTATTGATCTAGGCCTCCAAATTGCACACTTTGGCAGCAGAAAAGCGCTGATATTCGCGCGTTCACTGCGCTGAGTGCGCGTTTGTATACATTTTTCTGGGCCGTGTGCCAATAAGTTATACGGTGCCTCGTAAAGACGTCTCGATCACTACATTATGATTATAGATTCTTATTTTCCTGAAAATGTCAAGGATTTGGTTTTGGCAGAATGTTATTTAGTTGAAAACCAAATTAGGCTTTAGTCGGGAAAACAGATGTGACCTTGTGAATGTGAAGAGTCCTTATCCGCAGTTTCACACCCCCGCGGGGCGCGGCTCCGGACGTGGGGATCGCGTATCCGGGCCTCAAGGTGAGCCAGTTGGAATCCTACTAGCAATCCTATAAATACGGCACACCGGTTGTGGAGCTGGCACAGAACGGCCAAGAAAGTTAAGGGAAGCGACTTGACTGCCGAACAGACGATATCAAGTTGAGAGAAGCCGATAATTCGACAAGATGAATGCCTGCAGTGCCATCGTTGTTGTCGCCATTTCGGCCATCATGATCCTCGGTGCAAATGCAGACCGTAAACAGTAAGTTCCGATTAAAGACTTAATTGATTTAAGGCAAAACAAAACAAAACATTTTTTTTGTTTCTGGTACACGCGCACATCGCCGTAGAACTTTTTTTCAATGTAAGATGATGTCTCAAAACCACCAAGCTCACTATAGGTTGACTGAAATCCTGCTTCCGCACAATTTCAACGTGTTTTTAGATGGGGTTACGTTCGAGTATAGGCTAAATTTATGTGGCCCCTCTGGCTGCCATATATTTTGCACTAAATTTATTCGGGCACCATTTTGAAGACGGTATTGTAAATGTAATTGTGCGTCTGGAAGCCAGACTGAGGGAGCGATGGTCGTGTATCTGGAACCTGTAGACGCAGCTTTTAAGTAGCGCAATATGTAAGGGAGCAGACTAATAACCAGCCTGACAGCACATGCACGATGTCGATGTCGCCGTATGGTCTGACGTTACCGTTTTCTCTCGGTCAAGATTGTTATGGGTGCAAAATTCGCAAGCCTTATGGCCTTACCGAGGTCATGGCAGGTTCCACCCAGAGGGTTATTTTTGAGAGTTTTGGGGATTGGGTGAACGAAATCCCCCAAAATGCCAGCCGTGGAAACTCAAAGGGGGAGGGGGGGGGGGGGTGGACAACACCAGTACACTGGGGGCGCTGTTCATGATAAATCAGCACATACATCTTTAACAAAATGTATACATGCGCGTACGCGCCTTGGCCTTCAACACATCAAAACGGCGTATTTAATTAGAAACATCTCATTTTTCGATTGATGACATTCTGGTTGATGGGAAGCTAAAAAAAAAAACCCTGAAAATCCGCATTTTTTTCTCAACACGAAAACGTGCGAGGGGTGGGAGATCCAATTGCCCACCCCCCCCCCCCCCCCCCCCCTGGTCAAAAACTGGCCGGGGATGTATAACCAACCTCCCCCTTCCCGGATTAACGCCCCTGCCTCCGACTTCCGTCATTTAAAGGGGAAAAAACTACTAACAAGTTAGTATGCAGTTCGAATCATTACATTACCACTGAGCTTTGTATGTTTTGGTTTTCTTTGACGCAGCTGTTTTTGCGATCTTCGATGGAGCACAACCGAGCTAACAGCAGGGGAAAGCGCCAATGGTTTATCGGTCTTGCAGGACCTACATAACCCGAGCTACCACCACTGGCTGAGCGTGGGCTGCAGACGGGTCCTTCGAAACTGCCCCAACGACTGCCTGAATAAGGCCCATGACTGGATGGGCGGGGCTATGTTCACCGACGGGGCGGGCCAGCTGGCCTGCGAGAGCGTGCGGAGGAACGCGCCTCCAGGTAGTCCGATCTACGTGTACGCAACGTACGACCCCAGCGTGTGCGGCGATCGCACGTGGCAGTATGTGGCCCCGCTCTGCTGCTGGGAGATCGCGTTCCCTGGCTACGACAGCATCTTTCTGTACAACCACAGATGTGAGGATCCATGTCCACCGACTAACCCAGGATGCTGAGTTGTTTCTAGTTACTACCATACACATGATGGTTGATGCCATGATGCTGACTAGCGAAGCTTCAACTTCATGTGAACTCATTCACAGACTGCATAGCGCTGACGCTGTAACATTGCTATTGCGAAACAATAAATTGTTGCAAATTTAATTTTCAGATATAAGTCAAAGTACCAAACTACTTCAATGAACGGTATTTTGGAAGTTGTAGTACTCAGAACATAATTTGTTACACCCCCTAAGTCGCTTGAACTCTGTCCCGTTAAAATTTATAAAAACAGTAGTCATAATTACCGATTTTTTTATTGATTGACCTGACGTGCAGTAAACGTAATAAATGAACATTGTTAGGCTATTTTCGTTTTTAAAACACATCTCCTGCTTGTTCTTTATCCTGGTTGGCTGAAACGCGGTCACGTGTGATTCACTAATATGGGCTAGTGTGTGAAACTAGACGCGCGTCGAGACATCGCACGCGCGTAATTTCCAGAGTATATAGCAACTATACAGAGAAAAAGAAAAGAAACAAAATAATCAAATAGCGTAATAGACCTTATGCGTACAACGGCCATCTTACAGGGTACTTTTTTGTAATTTTAATTTGGTAACAATGAATGTACTAAAAGTTCAGGTGTGCATAATCCCAGCAAAACAAAGGTTCTTCCCCAACACATGTAATTGGTCAATTTGTACCCGATTTAACGAATGGAGTAACTACAAACCAATGCTTTGAAAATAACATTGCCCAGCAATGTTGTACCAATCTCTTTGTAAAGTGTTAAATCTACAAAGAGTTAGAGAGAGAATACTTTTAAAAGAAAATACAATAGTCTGCGATTCCTATTTAATTTCCGCATGCATAGGCCTAGTAGTGCATACAAATTTTGCCATGATGCAATGCACTTGACGTGTTTTTATAGCCTTTCGTATTTGCATTTATAGTGAAAGCGAGGGAATGAAGTACTCGTGCGTGCAGTCATTTGATCCAAAACTCTTCGTTTTTGCCATTATGTTTACACTTGTATTTTTTCAAATTATCTTGTTTTACCATACAGCACAACCCTCCTCGAGAATTGTCAGGATAGGCCTATACTTTCATATAAAAAAAACAATTGGATAATTATCAGGGCATGTATTTGTCTTTGCGATGGGTTGGTGGACCGATTTCTACAAGTTATGTTTTCAAAAATGTGTGGGTAGGTGATCGACCCAAGTACCACTTCTTGCAAAATTAAACACGCTTTTCCTGAAACAACTACCAAATTTAGAAACCGCATGTCGACAATTGGTGAAAGAGCACTTCTTGCTGGTTTCCACAAACGCCTATTGGTTTTCAAATGAAATATAGCAAGCAAGCCACATTCACTTTTTATTGTGAACGTCTGGGTACCAAACTCTAGTTGCAGACTCCCGTGTTAGAATTTTCCATTTTTGTTATTAGTGTGTTCGATTGAAGTCAACATTTTTAATTTTACTTTAGGCCAAAAAAAAAAAGTCTCCGGTTTCTGGTATGCGCGCGCGTCGGCAAAATGAAAAAGTTTTTTTTTTCAATAAAAGATGATGTCCCAAAACCGCCAAACTCACTGGTTTGACTTGAATCCTGCTGCTGCACAGTTTTAACGTGTTTTTAGATGGGGTCATGATCGAGAATAAGCTTTATGTGGCCTCTCTGGACTCCCATTATATTTGCACTAAGTTTAGTCGGGCACCATTTTGCAGTCATCAGCCGACATTTGAAGCAAAAAAAACAGGCCAAAAAAAAAAAAAAAGCCGCGTCGCTGCACCACTTTTTGTGCAAGCTCCATACCAGAAACCGGAGACTTTTTTTTTTTGGCCTTAGTTATCAATTCTCAAATATTTTCAATATAAATTGTCACGTTTTCTTTTCTTACGAAATACCTATACTTATTGCTCTTGATTAGATGGGTCAAGTCGGATTAGATGTGCCAAGTCGGAATACAAATAAATGCAAAAAGGAAATAGGGCGTTTTTACACACGTTGTCCGGATGTACTATAATTACCGTAAAATATCGCAGGTTTCTTAGGTCAACTTTCCCGCTCTATAGAAAAGGCATATTTTTATTTATCACAATTTAATACAAATGTCAGGTTGATAAAAAAGATCTGTTTTTCCCTTCTGATTTCCAATGTGTGAGATTCTGCTGAAGACCCATAACTCAAGAGTAGATAAAAATGGCGGCAGATAGGTCGCCTGGAACTTTTAATTGATAACGCTATGTCCCGCAAGTCTTAAAACTGGAGGCAGTGATTAGAACGAATCCCATTTTCCTGCAAAAAAATCGGCCTCCAAATTGCACACTTTGGCAGCAGAAAATATATTCGCGCGTTCACTGCGCTGAGTGCGCGTTTGTATACATTTTTTCTGGGCCGTGTGCCAATTGTATGGTGCCTCGTAAAGACGTCTCACTACATTATGATTATAGATTCTTATTTTCCTGAAAATTTCAAGGATTTGGTTTTGGAAGAATTTTATTTAGTTGAAAACCAAATTAGGCTTTAGTCAGAAAACGGATGTGACCTTGTTAAAGTGAAGAGTCCTTATCCGCAGTTTCACACCCCCGCGGGGCGCGGCGCCGGACCCTAGGGATCGCGTATCCGGGACCGGGCTTCAAGGTGAGCCAGTTGATTGGATGGAATCCTAGTTCAGTGCAATCCCATAAATACGTCACACTGGTCGTAGAGCTGGCACAGAACAGCCAAGAAAGTGAAGGGAAGCCGAAGAGACGATTTCAAGTTGAGAGAAGCCGACAATTTGCAATAATTCGACAAGATGAATGCCTGCAGTGCCATCGTTGTTGTCGCCATTTCGGCCATCATGATCCTCGGTGCAAATGCAGACCGTAAACAGTAACTTCTGATTAAAGACTTACTTTAAGGCAAAAAAAACCCAAAATCTCCTGTTTCTGGTACACGCGCACATCGCCGTAGCCATGCGCGTTGGCAAAATGATGTCTCAAAACCGCCCCCCCCCAAAAAAAAACCCTCACTATAGGTTGACTGGAATTCAACGTGTTCTTAGATGGGGTTACGTTCGATTATAAGCTAAATTTATGTGGCCCCTCTAACACTACAGCGTTACTTTAGGCCTATTCGTATGTACTGCATGTGTTTCAAACAGGTGAACTGACACGAAAAAAACCAAACATTTTGCACAAATATAATTTTTACACTATTAGGGAAACTTAGTCAAATAGTTATCACAGATAACAAGGAAAACGTTAAAACAGATTGTAAAATGTACATTCAGGTGAAAAGAGATCTTATCTATACGACGCCTTGACAGCTCGACAAGGCACGCAATAGGATGCACGCTAAGCGCGGACACTATTTGCAAGCTTCCGTAAACAATGTGACGTCATGGACGCATGACTAATCAGATCGCATTATGCTAATTAGCGGACACTTTTTGGTACCGGACGGTTTTTGGCACGACGCCGGGCTTCAAGGTGAGCCATTTGGAATCCTAGTAGCAATCCTATAAATACGGCACACCGGTTGTGGAGCTGGCACAGAACGGCCAAGAAAGTTAAGGGAAGCGACTTGACTGCCGAACAGACGATATCAAGTTGAGAGAAGCCGACACTTTAGTTGCAATAATTCGACAAGATGAATGCCTGCCATGTCACCGTTGTTGTCGCCATTTCGGCCATCATGATCCTCGGTGCAAATGCAGACTATAAACAGCAAGTTCCGATTAAAGACTTAATTTAAAGCAAAACAAAACAAATCTCCTGTTTCTGGTACACGCGCACATCGCCGTGGCCATGCGCGTTGGCAAAATTAAAAAAAATTTCAATGTAAGATGATGTCTCAAAACCACCAAGCTCACTATAGGTTGACTGAAATCCTGCTGCCGCACCATTTCAACGTGTTTTTAGATGGGGTTACGTTCGAGTATAGGCTAAATTTATGTGGCCCCTTTGGGCTGCCATAGTTTTCACTAAATTTAGTCGGGCTCCATTTTGCAGACGGTATTGTAAATTTTGTAATAATTGTGCGTCTCTGGAAGCCGGACTGAGGGAGCGATGGTCGTGTATCTGGAACCTGTAAACGTTTTTTAAGTAGCGCAGTATGTAAGGGAGCAGACCGATGACCAGCCTGGCACCACATGCACGATGTCGATGTCGCTGTTTGGTCTGGCGTTACCGTTTTCTCTGATTTTTTGTCTTGACTATCCAAATTTCTCGAAGAATGTTCGCGTCCGGCGGGTCGAGACCGTTAGTGGGTGCAGTATTCGCAAGCCTTATGGCCTTACCAGGGTCATCGCAAGTTCCACCCTGAGGGTTATTTTTGAGAGTTTGGGGGGATGGGGGTGACCAAAATCCCCCAAAATGCCAGCCGTGGAAATTCATTCAAAGGGGGGGGGGGGGGGGGGGGGGGGTTAGACAACACCATTTCACTAGGGGCGTTGTTCATGATACAGCACATACATCTTTAACAAATGTATACATGTGCGTACGCGCCTTAAACATCAACACATTAAAACGGCGCATTTAATTAGAAACATCTCATTTTTCGATTGATGACATTCTGGTTGATGGGAAGTTAAAAAAAAAAAACACCTCAAAATTTTGTTCTCAACACGAAAACGTGCGAGGGGTGGGAGATCCAATTGCCCATCCCCCCCCCCCCCCTGGTCAAAAACTGGCCGGGGATGTATACCCCCCGCCTTCCCGGATTAACGCCCCTGCCTCCGACTTCCGTCATTTAAAGGGGAAAACTACTAACAAGTTAGTATGCAGTTCGAATCATTACATTACCACTGAGCTTTGTATGTTTTGGTTTTCTTTGACGCAGCTGTTTTTGCGATCTTCGATGGAGCACAACCGAGCTAACAGCAGGGCAGAGCGCCAATGGTTTAGCGGTCTTGAAGAACCTACCTAACCCGAGCTACCACCACTGGCTGAGCGTGGGCTGCAGACGGGTCCTTCGAAACTGCCCCAACGACTGCCTGAATGCGGCCAATGCCTGGATGGGCGGGGCTATGTTCACCAACACGGCGGGCCAGCTGGCCTGCAAGAGCGTGCGGAGGAACGCGCCTCCAGGCAGTCCGGTCTACGTGTACGCAACGTACGACCCCAGCGTGTGCGGCGGTCGCACGTGGCAGTATGTGGCCCCGCTCTGCTGCTGGAAGATCGCGTTCCCTGGCTACGACAGCCAATTTCTGTACAACCACAGATGTGAAAATCCGTGTCCACCGACTAACCCAGGATGCTGAGTGGTTTCCTAAGACAGCTACGACAACACGTAACTACACATCTGACTGATTCAGTCGAGCTAATTAGCTTCAACTTCATGCGAACTCTTTCCAACAGACTGTATATATGCCTTACTCGTGAACGAAGGATGACGCTGTCGCGCGCTGTAACATTGCTATGGCTAAAAGATCATTGTTCAAACTTTAGTTTCCAGATTTAGATAAAGTTACTAAACTACTCCAATAAACGGCATTTTGAGGTTGTAGTATTCACAAAATAACATTGGTCACCCCCCTAAGTCGCTCAAATTTCTGTCATGTTAAAATTCAGAAAAGTGTAGTTTTAAAAACACCACTTTACCCTTTTGTAATAATTTCATTTTCAATTTTTAAACCCTAACTTAACGTGCAGTTGTCATGAAATAAACGGACATTTTGAGGCTATTCTTTCGTTTCATATCGGCCAGTGCTACAGCTTAGATTTTGCACCAGTGAAGGATGCTCGCACGTCCTTGCTATAAATAAATGCTTTGCCTAAGCATCTATAGGCCAGTCTAAAAACCATCTCTCGTTTCTATGTTTTCCATTTAATGCTTATGAGTGGTAATTTCTTGGTGGAGTTAAATTATGAAAGATGAGTTTATAATGGGTCTCTCACATCGCTAATATCTATACACATTATTTTAGAGACTTTAGTCCACTAGCTTTTCAACAATGTAAAGAAATCTTTCCTATCAGGCAAATCTTTATTGAGTTATGGCCAATTGAAAACAAGCAGGGGTGGATCCAGATTTTTTTGCGGGAGGGGGGGGGGGGGTAGATGGGTGGGTTCATCAGCAAAAAAAAGTCTGAAATGTCTGAAATGTCAGGTTTTTTTTCTCCGGACACTTGATCTCTGTAAATCAATGGGTGGGGTGGGGAGCTCGTACCATGTATATTTTCAATGGGGGCGCTGTTCAAATCCGACAATTATTAACACGACAGTCGAACCTCGTTAATAAGAGCACTGTTAATACAAGGTTCCTGTTATAACAAGGAAAATTGCTAGTCCCAACTCATGTTTTCTTTGTTTTCGACTCCTGATAATACAAGGTTCCTGTTATAACAAGGGAATTTGTAAAGTCCCAAGGACCTGTTATTAACGAGAGTCGACTGTATATTACAGAATAGTCTACAAATAGCCCCTAACCAAGCTGGCTCTGTCCGTATCTTTTATACCCAGGCGAAAATTTATACCAGTATAATTTTGTTGAATGTCAGAGCGGGGGGGGGGGGGGGGAGGATTCGCATTTTTCTTCATGAATTTCTATGAAAACAATGAATTTTTGACAGAGCTGTGGTGGGGTTGAGCCCCAAACTCCCCCCCCCCCCATCCGTGCCTGACAAGTACCGCATATGGTACCAATGTATAGGACACATTTTTTCGTCTGCTCATTTTTTTTTTACCGGACTCCTTCGTCCATTCAAATTGGCTACATTTGACGAGAAGACGTCAGGTGCGTGCTTCTGACCAATGAGAGACGGCCACGCGTGTACGTCACGGATACTTCCTCGGAGGCCCCCCGTCTTAAAAAAATACGAAAAAAAATAGGGCAATTTTTAGTATGGAATTGATGCTACTCCATCGGAAATTGAAGATTATTCCTTCAAATTTCTTTAATTTACAAATTCCATTCTCAATGAAAATGTTGGCATAATGTTTAATCGGTCGAATGGAAGAAAACTAGTACGCGGAGAAATACACACCGAGTACTTTGGCCCAAGGCAGTACATAGACCCCGGTGCGCAGCAGCAGCCTGCGATAGAAAAATGACACTATTCACCGCCATATATCATTACGCCATGGAAAATTACCGAGAGCGGAGCGGGGTCAACGGACGCTGGGTGGGAGACATCTCGCAATGTCTTCCCGCTATTTTTGGTCAATCACCAAAAGAAAATCCTTAAAACTTAGTCAAAGCTTGAGACCTTAACCACCGAGTCGACCGTCCAGCTTCAAGCTACCAACGCAGGAACTCGTACATCACACCATGGAATCTTCATGTGCGTAAAAAATGTCGAATTTGGACGCTTGGAGTCTGGCAATTCAACCAGGAAACCGGCCTCATGTGCGGGGCCACTGCAACATTTTAACGGCGCTGACATGTTGCGGCGTCGTCGTCGACTCGTCGTCGCGTAAACTGACTTGAACTTTGCTGTAGGCCTACAGAACTTGTCATAAAAACTTGTGTTTCACAGAACTGAACTGGACTTGCATTCCTGTGCTGAACTGAACTAAATGGACATGTGGAATTTCTGTGAACTCGTAATTTTGTCGAATGATCTGAATGACGTTTTTGGAAAATACTGAAGTCAAGCGTTTGGAGTTCGTCGGGGTAAGTCCAACTTTAAATAAGGAACTATTGAGGTGAGTGAAAATATATCTTCTCCTCCGATCCGGTCACAGAGAACCAAAAGACGAAAAAGCGTCTCACTGAGTATTCTGCACTTTGAGCAATGTTACGTACATTTTGAAATGCCTGAAATTCCATTCCTGTCTGCATTTTAAACCTCAATTCGAAGTAAATTACAGCCAGAAAATTCCTCCTTTTTTTGGTCCTTAAATCGCATTTATTTTAAAACATTTCAAATGGTACCTACAATAAGCACGACGTAGTGCATTTTGTGTACATGAGGTTGTCTTTTACATTGTTGAAGTTTGTACGATAAAAGTCAGTACATTTTCTCTTTAAATCTCTGATTTTTAAAATACCTAGATTTTAGAATAAGCACGATACATGAGTGTTGTTGCAAACAAAATGGCTCCCATGAGTCTCTTACATGAGTTTGTATTTTGCATAGCTGAATAGTGTATGTTGAAATTCCATTCCTGCACGTAGGCGAAATCCCTTTTGATTTAGAGTAATTTGCATATGAATACCTTCCAATGTGTTTGTCAATACGCGTGTACGATAAGCCGTCTCTTTCATGTCGCGCTATTGATGCATTGCGCATTTAACACGGGGTTTCTTTGAGTTCGTGGCGCGAGTCATGCACGCGAGCCTCTCGTGGCAGGCGTAGTGGGCGTGGTCATAGATTTCGATGATTCTTATTGGTTGAAAAGTTGTAAGGACGCGCGCGCTGTATGCGGCCAGGTGCACCGTCTTTGCTACACTTTCAAAGACATTCCAGCGAGGGGCTTTTAGTAAACGGTTTAGTTTTTTATAAGAGATTTGGCGTTCCTTGGAATTTAGTTAGCATTTGCCCTTATAATTGTATTAAAATGACTGGTTTAAGGACTTAAATATGAGAAAAAAATAGTGTCGAGCATTTATTCAATTATTTAGAGATGACGCATGAATTCGAGAAGTTAGCAGCGGAACCAACGGATTTACCGTAAAACTGAATTTATTTAATGCAAGTACATAATTTAGATTCCTGTAGGGTGGCATTCCAATGGACCAATATCAATTGTATGGACATTGTATCCACGGATCTCAATTCTTTATATAAATTGCTCAAAATACACTTTACACCATTACCTTTAGGGTATTTCCTGTATTATAAGTTCCAGAAGCCAGAGAAAAAGGAAACAAAATTGACAGCTGAATTATTTTGATTATGATTGTATAAATTTAGATTGTAAAGGAGAGTCGATGGAATTGTTTGAAGCTCATAAGAAATGGAGAAGACCTGCTGTTGAGGATAATGATGACCATGAATTGACGTTTGGAAAAAGGAAAATAAGGCAAAGTTATGATTGTATTAAACGGAAAGATTACAATTAAGGTAAAGGCGGGGTTGGTGGGGATATAGGCACATGACGCGCGTAGGCAGCCGAGCACACCAGCAGCAGCGTAAGGGAGCGTGACCTGGCACAACCATGGTGTAAAAATTTACTTCATAAAAAAATATTGTAACAAAACATTTACAATGCTTAAAATAATTGACCTTTTTTCTAGTCGGAGTAAAAATCAGCTGGAAAATCTTAGCTTGATACTTAATCAAAAATAATTAACAGCAGTCAATTAAAATCGTATCAAGGCAGTGCATTCCTATCGAAGAAATTGAGATTCCTTTTATATCCAATTACAGAGCTCTATAAGGTTATGGGTTGGCATCCGTTATTTATAACATAGGAGGACATCTTTGGAGTATTTTTTTCGCTATGTCCTGTAAGTGAGATATCGTCTTCCCGAGGTAAAATTTCATCACGGGTCGGTGATATCTTTTAGGTGAGATGTTGTCTTCTCGAGAAAAAAAGATATATTTTCGGGTCGGTGATATCTTGTATAGGTGATATATTCTCTTCCCGAGAAAGAAAATATTTCTCGGGTTGAAGATATCTTGTGTGTGAGATGTTATCTTCCCGAGAAAAAATGTATCTCGCGTAGATTATGTCTTTGTAATTTAGATATCGTCTTCCCGAGATAATATTTCATCACGGGTTGGTGATATCTTTTAGGTGAGATGTCGTCTTCTCGGGAAAACAAACATTTCTCGGGTTGACTATATCTTTTGGGTGGAGTGTTATCTTCTCGAGAATAAAATATTTCTCGGGTAGATGATGTCTTGTAATTTAGATATCGTCTTCCCGAGATAATATTTCATCACGGGTTGGTGATATCTTTTAGGTGAGATATCGTCTTCTCGAGAAAACAAATATTTCTCGGGTTGACTATATCTTTTGGGTGAGGTGTTATCTTCTCGAAAATAAAATATTTCTCGGGTAGATGATGTCTTGTAATTTAGATATCGTTTTCCCGAGATAATATTTCATCACGGGTTAGTGATATCTTTTGGGTGAGATGTCGTCTTCTCGAGAAAACCAATATTTCTCGGGTTGGCTATATCTTTTGGGTGAGGTGTTATCTTCTCGAGAATAAAATATTTCTCGGGTAGATGATGTCTTATAATTTAGATATCGTTTTCCCAAGATAATATTTCATCACGGGCTGGTGATATCTTTTGGGTGAGATGTTATCTTCTCGAGAAAACAAATATTTCTCGGGTTGATGATATCTTGAAGGATATCGTCTTCCAGAGATGGTTTTTCACTGGTTGGCGATATCTTCATTTTCCCCGAGACCTAATCAGTTAATTTATAAATTAAAAACAGACGATAGATGTCAACTTTCTGAGATTAAAAAAAATGATCTTGTCAATTCGTAACTAAAATACGGAGTTCTGTAAAATATGATTATTGTAAAGAATAAGTATATTTTACTGACTAAAAATCGTAAAAACAGCTTTTCCTATAACTCATTAACTAAAAAAAAAATGTAAATTTTAATCACAAGTTTTAAATCTTAAATTTAGAAAAATCCGATAAGGGTTTCCTGTTTCATAGGAAAATCAATGAAAAAGAGTAAGGCAAAGCTATATGTAGCCAAATAAAAATTTACATTATGAAAGTGGATAGAGAACAAGTGATAATTGAATAATACTTATAAATAAGTAAAATTTGGATGATAGAGTATTAGGAGCTTAAGCGTGCCGCAAAAAGCCATGCAAAAGCAGCTTGCAAGACGATTAGGAACTTTGGGAATTGGGGAGGGAACGAAATATATTAAAGAGGTTGTGGAATGCACAGTAGCATACACGAGTCCTGTTTATTACGTCACGATTTACTGTGTTTTGTTTGCTGCCCGCAACGACGACTTTTACACAGTTGCACGTTCGGGTCGAAACTGGACCTGAAAAACAGCTGTCAAAAGTACCTTTTGTACTCATTTCATGACAGAAACAATAGTCGTTTTTATTTCATCACACCTTAGGCTACATATACCCGAAAAATGACAGAAATGTCTTCGAGCATTCCACAACCTCTTTAAAATGTTTTACCAACGTTTTGATCCTGACAATGCCTTGTGCATTGACAATAACAACACAAGTTGGAATGTGAAAATAGAAGAATCAACGAAGCAGACGGACCCATGGAGATGTCAACATATCAACGGAAATTAATTCTTAATCGACTTAATAATATCAATTTAATAATGGCATTGCCTTGAGCTTTGCCGCGTCAAAGCCATATTAATTTGCTGATTATTTTTGTGCAAAAAGACAAAGGAATAACCTTTTAGAAGTAATGGTGTAAAGTAGTTCATTAAGCATTCCTTTTAAAATTTTGCGAAATTGTTGTGTTGGTCAGTGTCCATTGGAATACCGCCCTCTATAGGTTAAAGTATATTGAGATAGGTGACACCCTTGTTGGTTACTACTATTGAGAAACACGACACCCTTGATGGGTGCTACTATTGAGAAAGGCGACACCCTTGATGGGTGCTACTATTGAGAAAGGCGACACCCTTGATGAATGCTACTATTGAGAAAGACGATACCCTTGATGGGTGCAACCGAGAACACCCTTGATGGGTGCTACTATTGATAAAGACGACACCCTTGATGGGTGCTACATCGCCAACAATTCAACAGAATTATTAATGTATAAAGTTGTTAAACCAGTAACATATTGTGTTTTAACACCCTTGATGGGTGCTGCTATTGAGAAACACGACGGCCTTGATGGGTGCTACTATTGAGAAAAACGACAAAGTTGAAGGGTGCTACCTAGAACGACGTCACCCTTGAAGGGTGCTACTAGTGAGAAACACGACACCCTTGATGGGTTCTAAAATTGAGAAAGACCACACCCTTGATGGGCGATACTATTGAGAGAACGACACCCTTGATGGGTGCTACTATTGAGAAAGACTACACCCTTGATGGGTGCTACCGAGAAAGACGACACCCTTGATGGGTGATACTATTGAGAGAACGACACCCTTGATGGGTGCTACTATTGAGAAAGACCACACCCTTGATGGGTGCTACCGAGAAAGACAACACCCTTGATGGGTGCTACTATTGAGAAAGTCAACACCCTTGATGGGTGCTACTGAAACAGTTGACACCCTTGATGGGTGCTACCGAGAAAGTCAACACCCTTGATGGGTGCTACATCGCCAACAAATTAATTCAATGTAGAATTATAAATGTATACTGTCTATCAATGTATAATGTTTATAAATGTATAATGGATAATGTTTTGTAATACGACAAAGGGGTCAAACATTATACTTATATTTCTCCAAGGAACCTCAATCTCTTATAGTCAATCGTCTGTCCGAAATTTGTAACGAAGAAAATAAGACGATGGATATCGGTCTCTGAGACCTTTAAGGATTAAAGCAATAAATTAATCATTCGTTAAACGGTTACAAGTTCGAGAACGACATATGGAATCGAAAAAAATGGCTGTCAATCATTTTGTTTGATCTGTGTATAGAAAAAAAAGACATGGATGTCGACCTCCGGCTAAGGATTAAAGCAATACATTAACCATTCGTGACGATTACCAGCTCGAGGACGAACTGTGGAATCGAAAAAAATTGGCTGTCAATCATTTTGTCCGATCTGTGTAGG